AAAACCAGCCCCAGGAAGTCCCAGCTCTCCCTGCGGAGCTTAAAAGCCCTGACACCTGACACCTGCGTGACCCCCCCACCCCAGCCCCATCAGCACAGCTGAGCTGCCGCCGGGGGTGCCGGGGGTACCGGGGGTTCAGGGCTGCCGCGCACGCCAGCACTCTTCTGCTCCCCCCCCGCGGCCTGCCCACCTACGCCGGGGGTGCCGGGGGTACCGGGGGTTCAGGGCTGCCGTGCACGCCAGCACTCTTCTGCTCCCCACCCCAGCGAGCATCCCTCATCCCCGCGACACTCTGCCCCTCCAGCCCGTGACCCGCACACCCCTTGATGAGCTCCTGCAGCATCATTTAGCTACACAAATGCCTCGGTCACAGCCCAACAACCTTGTATTTGCCCACTCGTTTCTCTCCAATGCAGCACGAATCAGTTCCCCCTGTAATGCAGGATCTGGCCGAGGGGGGCTGGCCCCCCACCTCATCTCTCCTCCTTCCCACAGGGCTTCATCAAGCATGGAGCAAAGCTGGATTGGAGCACCTTAACGACTCCCGAGCAGCCTCCGGCTGGGCAGGCTGGCGAGGGGCGGCAGCCGGGCTCTGCCCACCCTTGCTGGGGTGCAGGGTGTTGTGGCACCCGCGGCAGGAGCGTCCCTGGCCTCTGCACCGGCAGAGTGCAGACGTGCAGGGTCCGCGTGGGAATACCCGGGGCAAGCCGGGAAAGGCAAGGGGCTGCCCTCGACACCCAGTTTTGGGGAGCTGTGTGTGGAGAAAAGCGACTGGCGAGGGATGTGGAAGTGGCCTTCCTCTGCATCCTTGCTCACTGAGGGGCTTTAACTGGGAAGCCCCGGAGCTGGTACCCAAAGATGCTGCACCGCCCCGAGCTGCATCCCCAACACACCGAGGGGTGCGAGGGCAGCACACCTTCCCGCAGAGCAGCCAGCCCCTAAAAGCTGTCATTGCAGGGAGGCTGGGGGGGACCCAGCGGGGATCCCGGGGGGCAGCAGGGATGGCTCAAGGGAAAGGGGGCGGACAGACGGACGGACAGAAGCAGCCCCTTGATCCCGGTCCCACAGGGGGATACCCAGAGGGCAGAGATGCTGGAGGTGGTCAAGGAGGCCTCTTCTCCCTGCCACCTTGCCTCCGCCAGCGCCGGGAGCTGCTGAGCCAGCACTGCCACCTCGTGGCACGGCCGCCGGCAAGGCTGGGGACGGTGCGGCACCGCACACTGCACACCACGCAGTCCTGGACGAGGCACACGCTCCAATGGTGTACACAGCCTTTATCAGCAGGGGAGCTGCCTCCAGACGAATCAGCACCAAAAAGGGGGCAAAAAACTTCAAAGGGGAGCGGAGAGCGGGTCAGCCTGGATAAAAGAGCGGGGCGAGAAAGGGAAGATGCAGCAGTGGATGGGGCAGGATCCCTGGTCTCAGGGGAGACAGCAAGGGACCTGGCTCACTGCCCTGCCTTGCCCCCATCGGACGGTGTTGGGGCTCTCTTACCTCCTAGTCTTCGCTTGAAAGCAGGACCTGGGCATTGGTGTCCGGCTCGGTGTCCGGCTTGGTGTCCGGCTTGGCTTGGAGCACCAGCCGGGACATGCTGCAGCAAGCTGAGGTTAGGGGGGTGCGCGGGAACCCCTGCCCCGGACAGGCGGTGAAAGGGCTGGCTTTCCACCAGGGTCAACCGGCCCTTTCTCCTTGCAGGGGATGGGGGTTTGAAGCCCACGGGCTTTAACTCCTGGGAGCAGGGTGAACGGGAGCCTGGGCTTCAACCTGCCGAGGGCCGGCACGCCAGAGCATGCGGGGTGTCTGGGCGAGGGGAGCCCCGGGGAACGTGGCAGCCCCCCAAAGTCTGTGCAGGGGGCAACTCACCGGTTTTCCATTTGCTCCAGCCCTTCCTGTGCCACCTCGTCCTCTGACACGCTCAGCACACAGCAGACCTGGGTTTGGCTGCAAGAACCACGCCGGTCCCCTCAGGCACTGCAGCCACCACCGCCGAGCTCCCCAGTCCGGTGCAGGGGCACGCCGCTGAGCTCCCCAGCCCGGTGCAGGGGCACGTCCTACCCCATCCCCAGCCGGTCCTGGTGGGCACCATGGGGCTTTACCTCCGCCTCAAGAGCTGGATTGTGGTCCTGTCCTCCAGGAAGGAGTGGCTGAGTGACCGTCCCAGCGGGCACGCAACGACGGCCCCATCATCCTGCCAAAAGCAGAGGGGGACGAGGTGTTCAGGGCCTTGGCACGAGGAGCACGTGCCAGACAGACCCAGTGCATGGCACGGACACAGGGTGGCCGAAGCTGGGTGCCTCCAAGGGTGCAAATGGGAAGGTTTCTCATCCGAGGGAGTGTTTAATCTCAAAGGAGCCCCTAGGACTCCCTCCATCCCCAGCACCTCCCAGCTGCACCTTGCCGAGCTCCCAGACACCTCCGTGGGGCACGGCCACGCTCAGCCCACGGATCCCAACCTGTGGGTCCAGCCTGCTCGCTGCCAGGCATGCTGGAGGAGCCGATGCAGACTCTGCCCGCTGCGCCGCCGCGCCAGCCAGCATCCACCTGAAGAACCTGGAGGTCCCGTCTTCAACCTGCAAAGGCAGCAAAGCCGCCATCAACCACAGGCACCCCCGGCGGGAGGACCATGTGTTGCATCCTGACCCCCAACGCTGCCTTTGCATGAAATCATAGGAAAACCTCCCTGGATTTAAATCCTGGGCTCCCCTGGTTGGGCATCGGCATTCGCACGCCTCAGCCTCACCTTATGCAGCCACCGCTCCATCAGTGAGACCGTTCCCACCTCCACTGCAGGGATACCCTGGAAGAGAGGCAGCCACTGACCCCCCCAGCCCTGGCCAGCGCCCGGGGGGGGGGGGGGGGGGGAACCTGCCACAAAGCCCTCAGCGCCGTCAGCGAAGCCCCTTCCCCGCCCCACCGCTTACCGGGGTGCCAGCAGAGAGGAAGGGAGCGCCGATGCCTTTCCGTGCCGTGATATACATCAGCCACGTGGAAATGATCATCCTGGGTGCCCGTCGGTGGCACCGCCAACGCCCCAAGCCCGGCACATTATTGGGTCAGAACCGGAACCGGCGCCGCAGCACCCGCGTTCCAGCACAGGGTTCCCAGAGCAACGGGGACAAGGGAGCTACAGGGAGCAAATCCCAAGGGAGCAAATCCCAATTCAGGGCACCCACGGGAGCCAAGACCGTGGCACCGGGCTACAGGGCAGGGGGACGCGGGGCGCAGCTCACGCAGGCTTTTTTGTAAACCCTCCTGCGAGCGTGGCTGAATGGGACAGGGGAGAGCAACAAGTATTACTGAAGGCTGGAGAGACCCTGCAAGAAGTCCCGGGTGGCTGCATAGCTCACGGAGACCCGATGGGAGGACGTGCCTTGGGGCACCCCAATGTAAGGGCGTTCCCCCTTACACCCCACGGCATGCTCAGGGCAAAGAAAAGCCCAGCATCTTCACACATCCCAAGGGAGAAGCATCCTCTCCGCAAACATCCCCGGGGCAGCCCACCTCCTCCCCACAGCCCCCCAACCCAAATCAAAAAACCCAACAAGTCTTTTTTTTTTTTTTTTAGCAAATGTTTATTTATATCAAAATACAAAACATTTCTGAAGCAGGGTAATGTTACATGAGGAGCAAGTTAATCGATTCCAAAACCCATCATTCTCCTACAGCATGGCTAGTTGTACGTAACATTGCAACACTGCCAGAATTTCTTATAGTGGGTACATTAAAATAAAAAACCAAAAAGTCAATCTATGAACATGCAATGTTACCGGCGATAACTTGTTAAGTACTCAGCAGGCCTTAAAAATCCCAACAGGCAGAGACCGAGGGACCAGCTACTCCCAGTAAGGCAGGGCTTCAAACTCTCATTTCTTCCAATTTTTGTTGGCTTATTAGCATTTAACTCGTTAACTGACAATAGTCCAAGAGCCAAAGGGACCCAACTTTCTCGGCAGAATGGGATTATTGCTTAGAGCTATCAAAGCAGACCCAGCTCCCGGCCGTCCCCAGGGAGGATGGGCAAAAGCAGGGACAGGGCTCACAGGGCGAGAGGCAGGAGAGGTCTGCCTTGGCCAAGCACCGTGTAGGTCGGGCTGAGCTGGAAGATGTAAAAAAAAAACCACCCCCCCCGGCTGAGGGGGCTCAGCGGGTCATTATCCCCTTAGAGACCAGCTCCGAGTTTGCCCAGCCGCTGCCTGCAGTGGGGGGGCCGGGAGGAGCGGGCAGCGCTCCCGGCGAGGTCTCGGTTACCTGCCGAGGACAGGCTAGCACCCAGTCGGAAAGAGAGTTTGGGGTGAGGGACCCCCAACTTGTGCCCCTCATCGCACACCTGGGGAGCGACGCTGAAGTTTGGCTTCCCCTCCCCGCGGTCCCGCACCGGCTCCGGGCAGGAACCCGGCCATTCCCGGGGATGCCCGTGGCGGGCACCGCGCCGGTCCCTCCTGCTGGCATTTTACAGGCCTTCGCGAGCACGGAGGCCGAGAGCAACAATACAGATACAGAGAGATTATATAGAGCGCAGAGTAAGTTTTGTATAAGGCTTTGGTACAGCACCATCATGTCAGATTTATTTGTAAATCGTTTACAGAAAAAAAAAGCTTACTGAAAAAATAGTGTTTTGTTTCTCTTATTTTTATTTTTTTTTTTTATTTTATTTTCATTTTCTTCTTTTGAGGAACATACCTGAAGTTCAAAAATTAACCCTCTAGTTGCCGTCTGGGCTCCCATCAAATGCTATTTTTGCTGTGTGCAATTTAAAAAACGAAGCGACTCGAACCCAACTCCCACTAACCTGTCACACAGCCCGCCCGGCTCGCAGCAGCCGCCCACGCTGCCCAGCCAGGCAGCGGCCAACGGTTTGCAGTGCACAAGTCAGTAAAATCAACACCACAGAGATTCAGCAGCTGATCGCTACTCACTTTTTAGTAAAAATTAAAAAAAAAACAACAACAAAAAGAGGAAAAAAAAAAGAGTCACGATGACAAACGGTATGGAACCAGCAGTACTAAAGTTTCCTTTATTGTTATTGTTATTAAAAAAAGTCAGTTCCACTGGTTACCATTGAAACAGCACCAAAGAGCACCCTAACGTGTGTTATACATCGTAATACTCGACATTCAAGAAATGGCAATGAGGTTGAATGGTCTAGTCTTTATATCCATAGGCAAGAAGTTCTTCTTAAAAAGAGGAAAAAGTTGTCCCATGCAACCAGAGACCTGTTGGGTCCGGAAGAAAATCCTGCCTTAGGGGAAAGCGCTATGGAGTTAGGAGGGAATTAAATCAAGAGCTACCTGTGGAGGTCTACAAGGGTTCAGAGACTCTACAAACCTATCAAAGGGGATTAAAAAGTCTGGGCTCCCCGGGAGAGCCAGGGATGCTCCCTTGGGGATCCAGGGATGCTCCCCAGGGAGCTGGCGCAGGGGTGCGACCTCCAAATGCCCAAAGGATGGCTCGAGAAACCTACGGCAACGTAGGTGTTTCCAGGAGGATTTCTATAGGGCTTTCCCACGAGGGAAACGCAAAGGGACCGGAGCCCGCACAGCCGTACGGAAGGTCCTGCATCCCCCCCAGGGCTGCGGGAGCATCCCTTGCCTGCTCTCTGCTGGCCCCACGGAGGGGGGGCGGGGGGAAGGGGGGTGAAAAAGAGAAGTTTGGCCTTAAAGTGCATGTGGGAGGGCAGGGAGTGGGTGCCAGCATCTCCCACGGAGCTGAAAACTCCCCGAACGGAGACAGGCGCTTTCCCACGCGGCTCTTCCCACCGC